GCGCGAGGGGGGGGGGGGGGACCCATTCCCATGGTAAGTTCTCTTTTTCTAATTTAATAATATTTGATTTCTTCCTCATGCCGTTGAGTTCTCATTGGTTATGTTTTCTTTTGTAGGTCTCCCCAAAGATGTTTCTATGAGGCCTCCATCCGGTGATGAGGATGTGCCTTTCGAGTCCCCTGCTCCGAGGTAGGGTGATAAGAAGAAAAGGAAAAGGGCCCGGAGTTCTCCGAACTCGGAAAAGAAAAAACCAAAGAGGAGGCCGACGTGCAAACCCAAGGGAAGCACCGGCGCTCTACCCCCGAACTCAGTCCATCGGCTAAGGGATGAGTCCGAGAAGAAGAAGAGAAATCCAAGCTGGTGGCAAACGTGCGGGCAGGTGTCTTGATACGAGAGGCCTCCGAACCGGCGAGTGCTGAAACTAAATCATCTCGATTTAGGTAGGTCGATGGGAGAACTTTAGCTTAAGCTCCCGAACCAGAAAGGGGTGAGGCCACTCCGCCTCAAGATGGCGAGGCCGATAATGAGATCGTGGATGGTTTTTCCCCGGACAACAGATAATGTTCCGAAGGGCATACCCGGAGTAATAGACCTCTCCGGTTCGCCTTTATTATTTTTCTGGGTCTATGATTGCCGATGCTCAGGCGCTGAAAGAACGATCCATCAAAGAGCCACAAGGGGCGGTAGACACCTTTACCATTTCTTTAACGGCATAGACTCTACTGCTACGGAGGATGTCATCGAGTTAGGTGATATACCAGTGCCGAAGAAGAGTCCATCGAGTGGACCTGCCTCGGGCCCGAAATTAGTCAATTAGTTCCCAGCCCCGAGTTTGAATCTTGACCGGAAGCGGTCAATTGTTATGTCCATCCCGGAAGATGCCCGGGTTCTCTCTGCCCCCATGGGAGTGGCCAGTTATCTTCGGTGCTTGGTGACCGAGGAGGATGAGGACAAGATGAATGAGGTGGAAGTGCTTATTTGTTCAACGAAGCCTAACAGGCATTAAATCTGGTAACCCCAGATACCTTTTAATAGTTTCTACTGTGTACTTAGATTATTTTGTAGATGATTGTAACACATTTTCCTGTGTTTGTAGGCTTCAGTACTCCACCATAAAATGTTCCTCCGCTATCGGCAGGAGCTGACCCAATATGAGACCGAGGTTCGAGGGCTCACTGAGAAAAGAGACGCTTACAAACTTCTCAGTGAGCAAAGAAAAGGGGAGGTCAAGGGCCTCCGGGCTGAGTTGGAGGTGGCTCGAAAAGAGCATGCCTACCTGGCTGAGTAGGTAAGAAGAATTTTTGAAGTTAGTGACGACGAATCGGACATGGTGACTAATGGTCCGAACCCGCAGGTCCAACAGAAGGTCGACAAGATCGGGTAGCTCCGAGAAGAGGTAGATGTGGTAAATGCTAAGGCCGAAGAATGGAAAAGAACATGGATCGCCTAGCCTTAGAAAAGGAGACCGCCCAAGCCCAGTTGGCATTGGCCGAAGTCCAGCTTCAAGGTATAAAGGAGAAGTCCTTGGTGCAGGCCAAGAAGATTGAGGAGCTCCAGTCCCAGCTGAATTTGGCCATCTCTGATCGAGAAAGTTTAGCCCTGGAGCTTAAAGCGGCCAAATCGGAGGCAAACGTAGTTAAAAGGCCAATGCTGATGAGGTGGTGGCCATTTTTAAGGCCGATGGCGAGGCGGCTCAGGTTCGAGCAAAAGACATCATCGAGCATGCTAAATGGCAATCTCGAAGGGAGGCCCTTGAGGAAATCCATGCTCGAGGTTTCGACCTATAGGCTGAGATCGAGAACGCCAAGAAGCTCGAAGCTCAGGATAAAAGGTTAGCTTATCCTGAGGATGACAACGACTCCGAGGGATTAAGCGAGTCCGAAGGCAGGGAAGATCCCGAGGGTGATGCTGCCTCTGGTGAGGACCAAGCCACTTAGGCCTTTAGATGTTTTTATTTTTTGTTTTTTTTCATCTTTTTGGGGCCGTTTTGGCCGTTGTAGATTAGTGTATTGGGGCCATTCCGGCCTTTGTAAAAATATTATTGGATAAATATATGTATAATGCTTCTTTCCTTTTCGGTTTTCAAATTTTTCCTTTGCTTTATTACTTGTACTCACAAAGGCCGGAATGCCTTAGCATAAAATAACTTAGGTTATATTCGAAAGTTCAAACAAATCTTGCCTTTACATTACTCTATTTTTAGGCGTCTTGGGGGTTCAGTGTTACCGGAAACTTTCTCCCAAAGTAAGTAATTCAGATTATAGCTTGCCGAGCGTAGTCGTTAGAACTAGTTATGAAAAAAAATTCCTTTTTGAAGGCCTATCTTTTGTTACGGGTCTCTGACGTCTCCGAGCCATGTTAATATGGTTGTAGCTTTTAGTTCGGGAGTCGCCCAGTGGACTTGTTTTCCCTAGTTATTTAGGTCTTATGCCTCTGAGATATAGTGGCTTGGGCCGCCCGGGTTTATTTTCGAACAACAGTCCCCGAGTGAGGAAGTGATCATTCGAACTCCGGTTATAAGCGGCCTTTGAGCTCGTTACCTTTAAGAGATCGGAAGTATGAAATTCTTTAAGGGATGTAAAGAAGAAATTTTTAAAACATAAGATAATTGCAAGGAAGAGACTTCTCTTTATTCTTGTGTAAGATAGTAACATATGTATACATGCTTTGTGTTAGGGTTTGATCAACCTATGTGGGCACAATTCGTTTGACCGTTTGGCCCTTACAATACATCCTACCGATCGATGCTGTTGATACCCAATTTTTCCCTACATATTTTTATACTCAAAATAGCATATACATACATATATAAGCATGCCCAAAAGTTTTGGTTTTTTTCCTTTATTTTTAAATCAATTTATTGTCTATTTTTATACTACAAAATTCAATAATTATTCCCAAACTAGGTGAATAATTTATTTCATTCTCATATTTACACTAAGATATAATTAAGGTAATTTTTGCGTATTTTTTATACATTTGTTTGGTATTTTTAAGCTAAATTGCATATAATTGCAATTATAACCTATTTTACAATTAACAACATTTCATAATCATAAAATCACTTTTAGTATTTTTACATTAATATTTATATGTTATTAATTAGTTCAGTACCTTTAATTTATTTTTAAATCATTTTTTTACTATTTTTATAAAATAATAAAAAGGGAAAATTGGCTATTTAACAAATAGCCCTTAGTATTTCAATTATAGCCAAATTGGCCACACCCCTATCAGATTTTTAAATGGCCCAATACCCTATTTAAACCAAACCCAGCCCAATCCCCAAAATAACCCGGTCCAATCTTTTTTAATTTGAGTCGTTGATCAAATGAGATCAACAGCCCAGATTTAATTCCCATAATTAAAATCAATTACCCCCCCAAACCCCTCATTTCTTTGAGATCGTCTCTCTCTCTATATCGTCTCTCCCTCTCCCTTCTCTCTAGAACCTTCTGGTTCTCTCTTCTCCGATGAACTCCACCGCCTCTCCGGCCACCTCCAATCTCACCTCATTCGACCATCAACCGCCATGAGACCCTAGATCGCTGGTTCTCTCTATTGAGATCCCAAAACCCAATCAGTCCCTAAAAAGTTCTGCCTGGTTTGTTTCCGGCCATCTCTGGCCACCTCCCTTTCACCAAGGCTCCGATGGGCCTTTCACCGTCCTGTTCAACACCTCTAGGACCTTCGAGGTTTATGGACCATGATGGTTGAGACCTAGGGTTCCTGGTTCTGCTACTTGTGGGTTCTCCGGTGTGATTTCAGGCGAAATCACACCCTATACGTCACGATCTATGAAGTTTCGACAGGTTTTCTCAACTTTTATTAGGGT